CAGGCCGAAGGTGGTTCCTGCAGGGAGAGAGACTGTCCTCTTCCAGAGAAAAGAGGTGTAACGACACTAAAGGAGGACCCAGAGGCAGGACTTCAGAGCAGCAACCTCACAGAGCCATGATTCCGGAGCAGTCTCAGTGCCTGCTGTCACCACCTCGGACGCGGCAGGCCCCACTCACCTTGGCTAGAGCCGCACCTGACTCGCCGCAGTCAGGGAGATGTCACTGCCCTCCTGAGGCCCTCTCATTTGGAAAGCACCTTCTTCAGGGCATCCCAAAGGAAGCCGGAGCTCCTCTTCAGCAGGGCTTTGAGATGTTTTCTAGAAGGCCAGGTCCCTCCCTTCACAAAGGAAACACCCAGGGAGCAGAAAGGCAAGGGGCAAGCCGTACCTTGCAGTAGCAAGGTCGACCCAAGCCAGAAGTGGAATCCTCCAGCGAAGCCGCCCCGAGCGACCCAAACAGGAAGTGGAATCCTGCAGGGAAGCTGCCCCTAGCGACCCAAACAGGAAGTGGAATCCTGCCGGGAAGGTGCCCTGAGCGACCCAAACAGGAAGTGGAATCCTGCCGGGAAGCTGGCCGGAGCTGCTCTGCCTGCCACAGGTCCCTGTAAAAATGGTAGAATAAGTTCTAGGAAATGCAAAATGTGCTTGAGGGCCATGCGACATTTTAAAAACTACACCTTGGTTTCCAAAGAAACAGAATGCTATTATGAGAGGCCCTGCCTCATTAGCCTCAGTTAGTGTCAGCGTGTGTCTGAGCACAATGCCCCGTGGTTTTATGTTGGACAGCAACTCAGCTGAGATGCCGCCTTCTCTTCCTCAATCGGATTGAGAATCACGGCTTCACCTGGGGCTCTGAAGCAGCCAGGCTGGCGTCTCACTGAGACACCTAGATCCAGAACAAAGGACCACCAGAATGAAGCTCCACCACTGCACAGCAGAGGAATGTGCACTGCACCCAGCAGTGACTGGGGCTTGGGCTCTGGAGCCAGTGTGGCTCCTCACAGGCTTGTGTTCTGTAGGGACTGAAATCTCCCAGCAAATGGTGGACGAGGTGGGGTCCCTGGAGCAAAGAGCAGCATGCAGGACTGGGCTGTACCTGGGGTGTCAGTACCCCCTGCAGAGATTAACAGGGCCCACAAAGGGGACTGAGGCATCTAATTCAAAGGGTGAAATAATCTAATGAGTGCAGCCACACAGAATGAGCAGGTATGGGGGAGAGAAGGAATTCACTGAGGTGCTGGCACGAAACGGGGGAGGCTTTGTAGGGCTCCCATAGCTTCACCCTTGGGCCTAGGGTAACTCCTAGGGCCCTAAGCCAATTTGGAGCCCCCAGCAAGACAGGGAGCAGGGAGCCCCTAGAGCTTCAGTGTTCTGATATGAAAAAGTAGGATAATGAGGCCTAAAACAGGTGACTGTGAGAACAAGGAAGAGCACAGGAGAAAGTGCTTCATGGGCCCTAAAGTGTGGAGTAGATGCTGGTTGTTACTGGCCTAATTCCATATGCTTTACAAGTGGTATTTTCATTGTAATAAAGCTTCTGCATTTTGATGGGAGAAGTTCTAGGGTTATTTTAACTCCTGATAAGAAAATAATATGTCTATGAGAGAGCCTGACCCTAAGGCATTCAGTTTGCAAACAGGCTTGGGCTCCCTGCCAGAGTAGGCAGGCACTCTCCCGGGATGCCAGGCCCTGGGGCAGTTTCAAAGACAGCAACCCAAAGCCATGCCAACCCTCCTCTAAAGGCACAAAAAGTCCCTGCAGGCTCCTGGGCAAACACCCAACTGACCCTCAATGTGGGGACCAACAGCGGGAGGGAAGCTATACCCTGACTCCACACTAGCAAAGACAAATGAGCTGGAACTCAGCTTCTTTCTGCTCTTCCTATTGGATCTGGTCCATTCAGAAAGGCCTTGGCAGCACTCTGAAGCCACATCTTCTGTGGCAGGTTGTTGGCAAAAACAACGGTGATGACCTTCCCCTGCCACATGGTTAATGTTCCTCTCCTCTCAGCGTGAGCAGGGATCTGGGGTGCATCTGTGACTTGCTTTGACCCATGGGATCAGCAGAAGTAATGTTGTATATCTTCCAAGCTGAGGCTGTATGTGACCTTGTGGCTTCTGCTGTCTTGAACAGTCCTTGACATCCACCAAGGGAGCTCCCTCTAGAGCGCTTCATGAAAGGCCACATGAAGACGAGGCTCTGATACCATATTAACCATGTCTTTTTATGTATTCTGATGCTTCGACATCTAGGGCCTTGCTGACTTTGGCAAGCCCATCCCTCTCAGGGTTAGCCAGTTCCTAGAGACAGGAAACAAGTTGCCCATGAGCATGCATTTCACACACAAACTAACCAGTCCAGAGCTCATGCCCACAGCTACCCACTTCATCAGCCTTCCATAGGACTCACACACTCTAGGCCAATATTCCTCTGCCCTAATCACCCCAGGGCCAGGTACCAGATAACTAGGGACAGCCCCTAAGCCCAGAGCCTGCTGAAATTACTCATACTGTAGTACCTAAACCGTAACCTAGTTCACCTTGCCTCACTCATTCCTTCCCATGGAAAACACAATAAAGGCTCTTGCCCATGTTTTCCCATCACTCCTGCCTTCTCAGTGACCACAGTGCCTCCTCATGTGCTCCTGCATGGCATAGTACTTTCCCTTCTCATGGGATCTGTCAGTCACAACCTGTCTTTTTAGTGACAATAGACTCTTGATCTGTTGGTCTCTCTGCACCTGAAGAATAATAAAATATATATGTATATATTTTTTAAACCAACTAAAATTTATTTAAGCATAAATTTACTTTCCCATTTGTCTACAACCACAGTAGACCTGGTGTCCTGGTGGAGGAATCATCATACTACGGTCCTGTTCCCACCCAGGTGACAGGAACCCAGTGTCAGAAGGAGCCTTTTGAGGATCCGGTAACCTACCACAGGTTGATTCTCCTCTTTCGTTGGTAATCTGATGATGCAGAGGATTTCCTGGGCCTCTTGAGCCTCTTCCTTTCCCCTTGGAAAGCAAAGGTGAGAGTCTGAGTGGACCCTCCAACAAAGTTGGAGGACAGAGAAAAGCTCTCGTTTCAGATGAAGATCCACCCATTGGTGAGGGATCATATGGAGAATGTTCTCTGCCAAATGCCGTATTTGGAACATAAAGTGCATCAGGATCTTTTCCTAACAGTTTAAACTGTATTTCAGTTAATTTTTGTCTGCTGTGAGCATTTTCTTTCCTTAAATCATTGAGGTTTCCTTTAGCAGTCCGAGCTGCCAACCAATTACGATGTGCTTTTTTCTCATAAGAAATAGTCCGCCATTGAAAGTAATGAATAGTTCTCTTCAATTCTTCTTCAAGATCTTTGGCTCGCTTTCTATAGGTCTCCAGCTTCTCGGTGGCATGGACGATCTTTTTGTCTATTTTAGAAAGTTTCTCTTCTTTCTCTAAGTGGTTATTTTCCTATAATGTTAATTTCCTATAGAGTCTCATTTCATTTTCTTGATAGAATTGAGTCATTAAGTTTCTGTTGAAGTTTCTGATTCTCTTTCTAAATGCGTGCTTTCAGACTGCAAAGATGATTGTTGAGTCTGAAGATTTTTAATGCACTGTGCAAGCTCTTTTGTTTTTTCGACTTCAGATAACTGAAAATCAATTTGTTTCCTTTGTCCATCTAAAATTTTTAAAGAAGCATTTAACTTGGCAGCATGAATCAGTTTCTTCACAGCTCCTTTTGGAGGATGATCTAAGTAAGCACATTCTTCTGATTCACTGTTCATTGCTAATTTCAAGTTCTCATCTTCCATTATGTCTTCTCCAAGCATAGCAGCCCAGTCTTTGATCTTCAGCAAGCGTTCAGTCAGAGTCTCGATGTGATTGTCTTTATCGTTTAGAACTTGCTCTGTGTGTACTCTGGAGTCTTCCAATGTTATTTTCTGTTTATTGAGTTCGCTCACTTGTTCTTTCCATACTTCAGCTTCTTGCAAAAGCTGTTTCTGGCTTTTCTGAAGATGAGAATTTTCATTCAAGGCACCTTTTATTGCTATCTTCAGTTGTTCTTCATTCATTTGAGATATCTTGAAGATGATTTTGGCTTCAGCTACTTGTGATTTGAGAGATTTTGACTCATCTCCTAGAGACTGTATCGTTTTTGAAATAACAGCCATCAGTTGATTTTGTTCAGAATGTTTTGATTTCTGTTCTTTTAACTCTTTTTCGAGACCAAGTATTTCATCCTCAAGTTCATCATTGGACCTGTTCAGCTTTTCACATGTTGCCTCCAAACTTCGTGCCTCTGTTGCCTACTCCTCAAAGCTGGCCTCCTTTAAAGATGGCTCTACTTCACAGCCTTCATGCTCTTTTTTTAATAAGGGTAAATATTTCAGGTAGTTTACATTTTTCGTCAATTAGTCCAGAGAGCACACCAGCAAGCTTTTTCTCTCTTCTCACATAAAGCCGACTCCTAACCGATCTCAAACTTCTCCACAAAAAAATGGGAACAGCGAAAAATCCAACAATAGCTGCCCATATCACGAATTCCCGCGGAAACCCATAAGAATTAGAATCTGCTGTCATATTTTGAGGCAGTGCTGCCACAACCCTGCGTAGCTCCACCAGGACCAACCCCAAGTAGGGCTGAGAGGTAGACCCGGGCTCCTGCACAGCGCTAAGTCTGCTCTGGCAGTTGCCACAGTAACCGGGGCAACAATAAGCAGCAAGAGAACACACAGCCCTCCATTTGGAACCCAAATCTTCACGTGGCAACCGGAGCTGACAAGTGCGGAGACCCCTGTGGGGGGAGCTAGGGGTACTCATAAGCCCCACAGGCCCATGCTGCCCACCCTGCCTCCTTGTTACACTTTACATCCTGAGGCAGCGCTAAAATCTATATTTTAAAACAATACCACATGGAGAGACAGACTCAGGTGATCCAGCATCCCAGCTATGCCTATCACCCAGCTGACATCCTAGCTAAATGTAGCCGTGTGCATGAGCCCAGGTGAGGCCAGCAAAAGAACCTCCCAGCTGACAGAATGATAAGCAATAACAAATCATTGTTTTAAGTCCCAAAGCTTTGGGGTCATTTGTTATGCAGCAGTAGCTAACTGAAATATCTGCCTCCTTATCACTTCGGTGTTTCAGTATTTGTGGTCTGAAATCATTCATTTGGGCACTTGACTAAGATTATGCCTCATGGTAAATTCTGATTCGTAATTTTATAGGTAAAATACACATTTTCTTATTGACCTTTGCTTCACTGAAAAGAGATTTATTTAGCTCCTCCCAAATGAGACAGATCGTGATTTCTAGATTAACTCCTTTCATGAAAGGGCTCATCTCTGCCTAGCACATCCTCAGTGTCCCATGTACGAAAGTAAAACGTTCATGTTGTTCCCAGAAGGTCCAGGGCACTTAGAACAGTGCTGGCACATAGAGAGTGCTCCTCTTCCTCGTCCATCAACTGACCTGCTCTGTGTCCATTTCTGCAACACTGGCACTCCTTCAGCACGGATGATGCACCGCCCTGCAGTGAGACATCATCTCCCATGCGTGCACGTATCTCCAACTCCCCTGAAAGCTCTCTCCTTCAGGAGAGGAACCAAACTACCTACAAAATGCCCTTCATGTACTAGGTGTTCTATAAATATTTTTGTTTAATCGGTTTCTAGAGATCCGGAGACTCTGGTTTTGGTTTTGCTAGGCACCAGTTGGCTGCTCTGAAGCCGTCACCCATGTTGACCTGATCGTGGGTGCTCACATTGAAGCAGAGGTCACATCCCGCAGCGGGACCGAGCCTGAGGCGCCAGGCGGAGGCTGCGCATGTGTGAGCGCCTCTGAGGAAGCTGCGAGAAGCCTGGCGGGTGTTGCTCCGGGGGCAGCCCAGGCTCGCGCGCAGGAGAAGAAGGTTCGGGAGGCGCGTGTCCTGCAGTGCAGCCGGAGCCCCTCACTGACTTCGCTGCTGCGACCCCCGCGGCTCTCCCGCAACCGCACCGGAGTCGGCTGTGCACCCAGCCTTCCCTCACCGCAGCTCCCGGAACCGCAGCGCCACAGCCGCCGCTGAGCCTCTAGGGGGCGCTGCTCCCCCGGCTGCTGTGAGCGCCTCCGGGACCGTGACTATGGCCCTGGCCGGCGGGGCAGCCAGTGCGGGTAGAGAGCACTCCGGTGGCCCTGGGTGCCATGACTAAGGTTCCTGTCAGCGTCTGCATGGAGCCCATGGCGTCCCAGCCCCTGTGGTCCCCCGTGGGGACCCTGGTGACCAAAGTGGCTCCTGTCAGCGCCTCTCCTAAACTCAGCAGCGGCCCTAGGCTGCCTGCTCCTCAGATGGTCGCTGTGAAAGCCCCCAACACCACGACAATCCAGTTTCCTGCTAATTTGCAGCTTCCTCCAGGAACCGTTTTGATCAAAAGTAACAGTAGTCAGTTGATGTTGGTATATCCTCAGCAAGCAAGAGCCGAGACCACAAGTAACATAACTTCAAGGCCAGCAGTACCAGCCAGTCCTCAAACAGTCACAATCTGTATAGTGCCTTCTGTGGCTGTGCCTACCAGTGTTGTCACAGTAACTCCTGAAAAGCCACTGATTACTGTAGCTACCCTGAAGTTTGGGAGCATCATCCACCCCCTCAAATGAGCCCAATTTTAAAGCAGAGAACTCAGCAGCTGTTCAGATTAATCTTTCTCTGACAATGCTAGAAAATGTGAAGAAATGCAAGAACTTCCTTGCAATGTTCATAAAACTAGCATGTGGTGGATCACAGTCCCCAGAAATGCAGCAAAATATGAAGAAACTGGTGGAACAACTTTTGGATGCAAAAATCGAAGCAGAATTTCCTAGGAAACTGTATGTTGAACTCAAGTCTTCACCTCAGCCTCACCTGGTTCCTTTTCTTAAGAAGAGTGTGGTTGCTTAGACAATTTCTGCCTAGCTCCCAGAGCTTCATCCAGCAATGTGTTCAGCAGACTTCTAGTGAGGGAGTCACTGCTACCTGTACTACAACAGTAACAACTTCTCCTGTGGTGACAACAGTGTCCTCAAGCCAGTCTGAAAAGTCCATTATTGTTTTTGGAGCAACAGCACCCAGAACTGTGTCAGTGCAAACTCTGAACCCACTTGGTGGTCCAGGGAGAGCAAAAGCTTGAGTTGTGACACTTCATTCTGTGGGCCCAGCTGCTGCAACAGGAGGAACAATAGCTGGAACTGTTTTGCTTCAGACTTCAAAACCACTTGTGACATCTGTACCAAACACAGTGACAACAGTCTCACTGCAACCTGAAAAGCCAGTTGTCTCTGGAACAGCGGTAACACTCCCTTCCAGCAGTAACTTTTGAGAAACTTCAGGTGCAGCCATTTGTCTTCCATCTGTGAAAACTGTTGTTACTTCTGCTGGGACCACATCTGACCAGCCTGTTACTGGCACTCCAATTCAAATCAAACTTGCCCAGCTGGACCCTGTCCTTTCACAACAGCTGGGATTCCACAGGCAGTTAAAGTCAAGCAACCAGTAGTTCAGCAGCCTTTAGGAGGCAATGAAAAACAGGTGACCAAACTCACATTCCTCTGCAATGACCATTCAGAAATCTGGACAGAAGATGATGCCAGGGAACACAGTAATACCTACCAGCCAGTTTCCTCCAGCGTCCACTCTAAAGCAAATTACTCTGCCTGGAAACAAAATTCTGTCACTTCAAGCATCTCCTACTCAGAAAAATGAAATAAAAGAGAATGGAACATGATTCAGAGATGAAGATGACATCAGTGATGTGACTTCTATGGCAGAGGTCAACCTTAATGAAGAAAATGCCTGCATCTTAGCAACAAACTCTGAATTGGTTGGCACACTCATTTCAGTCATGTAAAGATGAATCATTTCTTTTTATTGTAGCTCTACAAAAGAGAATTTTACACATTGGTAAAAAGCATGACATTACAGAACTTAACTCTAATGCTGTGAACTTATCTACCATGCAACACAGGAACCTTCTAGAAAAACTGACTGCAATTGCTCAGCATAGAATGGCTACTTAACAAGGCAAGTGAAAATTATATCTTGTGTAGTGATACCAGGTTACAGCTCAGTTTCTGAAAAGCTGGATCAATTGGAGAAGCAGAGAAAGGATTTAGAACAAAGAGAAATGTTGCAGCCAAGAGTCATTCTAATAAAGAAGACCCAGAACAGCTGAGATTAAAGCAGAACGCCAGATTACAGCAGTTGGAGCTTGCACAGATACAGCATAGAGATGCTTATCTCACAGCTCTTGCAGCTACTGGACCAAGGAAGAAGAGACCACTAGAATCTGGAAGTGAGGGTTTAAAAGACAACCTTCTTGCTTCTGAGACATCCAGCCTGAGAGCCACCAAACAGTTGCTTCATCCAAGAATCACGAGAATCTGCCTCAGGGACTTGATATTTTGTATGGCACAGGAACGGGAGATGAAGTATTCTCGAGCTGTATACCTGGCCCTTCTGAAGTGACCACTCCACTCTCCATCCAGATCCTTGCTATTTATTGCCAAAGAAGACACAACGAGCAGTGTTGCACTGTCCTGAAATTTCAATTTCTGGAAAATAATCACCAATACAAAAGCATTGTTTACAGTTAGAAACTTAATTTAAGTCTTACCTAACCGTTCCATGGGGCTGTTACAGACTAGAATTGTCTTTGTCTTTTGAAAATCTGTTATGAAACACACTGCACAGAATTAGGCATTTGCCTACCTGTGCATATAATTACAGCAAGTTAAGGCCCTGTTTGTTACTACCTGCCTCGTTTGCCAAATTGTAACATGTGAGGTGTCCTTTCCTAATATAGTGTGCATTGAGATGCCAGAGAAAGGAAGAGGCACTACAAGAAAATACAAAAATGACGATTTCATTGTGTATTGAACCTGTTCCAAAGTGGTAGGTGCTCTGGGCTGGAATGAGAAGTTGCTCAGCTAACTATGACAGTCACTTTCTGTACATGACAGGCCAGAGTAGGGTCTATGGTAACTTTGTTTGACTGAGTTCCAGTGTTGTCAAAAATGAGACAAATGGGGATAGATCATGCCTGGGGTTGCTAATTCTCTGTTTCATATCACCATGTGCTGTTTCTGATACCAAGTGAGTGGACATCCTTGTCAGGGAAACAAGAATTTGTCCTAAAAATGGAATCTACCGATATATCTTATAAAAATGAAAAAGGTGGAAAGTATTGGAAGGAATGATGGGGCGCTGCATCAAACTGATGAAGGGAATGTGAAAATGGTATCCTAAAACAGGGAATGTGCTTCATAAGCCCAAGAGGGGAAGGGGCAGAATCAGAACTCCAAAACTACTGGTACATGTTTTGTTGATGAGAAAAAAATCACAGTACAACCAGAATGGAGAATGTACCAGATGTTTTCAAATTATAGTATTTCAAAAGCAAGATGTTATTTTTTGTTTTGTATTGTTTTAAATCCCAAGAAGGATGGTTTTTGTAGTTCCTACTGTCATAATATATTTTAGTTATCCTAAGTTTTAAGCGCGTTGGCACATTTAAAAAATCCTAATTGATGATGAAAAAATTTTAACAATAGGACTTTATGTTGGATTCTGTACTTAAAAGGTACTGTCAGTATCTCACTCTTGGGGATATGAGCACTAAATATGAGAAGCAAGTTATATATCTTCACCGGAGGAAGAAGCTGACAGGCAAAGCTAACCCACTTTAAAAAAAAAAAAATTCCATGTGTGGAATACAGCTGGTGAAAACTAATCACTGTATTTAGAATCATATACAGAAAAAGATGATTGAATGCTACAAGAAGGTTTTTCAAAAATGGGAAGTGCTATACTTACAAGAATTCAGGGGGAGAAAAAAAAACCACCCCACATATATTATTCTTCATCCTGTTCTTTCCATTGGGACTGTTACGGCCATATTCTATGCTACAGTAAATTTTAAATTGGCCACATTTTCTTTTCGTTTCAGCAAGTTAGTATGTAAAACGCTATAAATTGTGTGTATGTTAAAGGAGTACTTTAAAGAAGAGATCTTTGAGGAGTCCCTAGAAACCCACCTTATCAAACAGCTTCCGAGATCACAGCCAGGTAAATCCACAAAGATGGGAAAAAAACAGTGCAAAAAAGATGAAAACCATCAAAGAACAGAGCACCTCTTCTCCTTCAAGAGATTGCAACTCCTCAACAACACGGGAACACAACACGACTGAGAAAGAGTGCGATGAACTGACAAACAGGCTTCAGAAGGTGGATAATAACAAACTTTTCTGAGCTAAAAGAACACGTTCTATCAATGCAAAGAAACCAAAAACCTTGAAAAAAGGTTAGACGGAATGCTAACTAGAATAACCAACTTAGAGAAGAACATAAACGACTTGATGGAGTTGAAAAACACAGCACGAGCATTACATGACACAAACACAAGTTTTAATAGCCAAATCAATCAAGCAGAAAGGGTATCACAAATTGAACTTAATGAAATAAAAAGAGAAGGCAAGACAAGAGAAAAAAGAGTGAAAAGAAACGAACAAACCTTCCAAGAAATATGGGATTATGTGAAAAAACCTAATCTACACTTGATTGGTGTACCTGAATACGACGGGGAGAATGAATCCAAACTGGAAAACATGCTCCAGTATATTATCCAGGAGAACTTCCCAAGCCTAGCAAGGCAGTCCAACATTCAAATCCAAGAAATACAGAGAACTCCACAAGAGCAACCCTAAGGCACAGAATTGTCAGATTCACTGGGGTTGAAATGAAGGAAAAATTGCTAAGGGCAGCCAGAGAGAAAGGTCAGGTCACCCACAGAGGGAAGCCAATCAGACTCACAGCAGATCTCTCAGCAGAAACCCTAAAAGCCAGAAGAGAGTGGGAGCCAATATTCAACATATTTGAGAAAAGAACTTTCAACTCAGAATCTCATATCCAGCCAAACTAAGCTTCATAAGTGAAGGATTTTTTTTTTTTTTTTTTTGAGACGGAGTTTCACTCATGTTACCCAGGCTGGAGTGCAATGGCGCGATCTCGGCTCACCGCAACCTCCGCCTCCTGGGTTCAGGCAATTCTCCTGCCTCAGCCTCCCGAGTAGCTGGGACTACAGGCATGCACCACCATGCCCAGCTGATTTTTTGTATTTTTAGTAGAGACGGGGTTTCACCATGTTGACCAGGATGGTCTCGATCTCTTGACCTTGTGATCCACCCGCCTCAGCCTCCCAAAGGGCTGGGATTACAGGCTTGAGCCACCGCGCCCGGCCAAGTGAAGGATTTTTGTGTCCTTTACGGACAAGCAATTACTGAGAGATTTCGTCACCACCAGACCTGCTCTACAAGAGCTCCTGAAAGAAACACTAAGCACGGAAAGGAACAAGTACCAGCCACTGCAAAAGCATGCCAAATAGCAAAGACCAAAAAATGCAATGAAGAAAATGAGTCAACTAACGGGCAAGAAAACTAGCCAGTAACAAAATGGCAGGATCAAATTCATATATTAACAATATTAACATTGATTGTAAATGGCCTAAACACCCCAATCAAAAGATACAGACTGGGAAACTGGATAAAAAGTCAAGACCCATCGGTGTGCTGTTTTCAGGAAACCCATCTCACAAACAAAGACAAACACAGACTCAAAATAAAGGGATGGAAAATGTATTATTTATTATTTATCTCCAGGCAAATGGTGAACAAAAAAAAGGAGGGGTTGCAATCCTAGTCTCTGATAAAATGCACTTCAAACCAACAAGGATCAAAAGAGACGAGGGCATTACATAATGGTAAAAAGATCAATCCAACAAGAAGAGCTAACTATCCTAAATATCTATGCACCCAACACAGGAGCACCCAGATACATAAAGCAAGTTCTTAATGACTTAAAACGAGATTTAGACTCCCACACAATAATAGTAGGAGACTTCAACACTCCATTGTCAATATTAGACAGATCAACGAGACAGAAAATTAACAAGGACATCCGGGACTTGAATGCAGAGCTGGACTAAGCAGACCTAATAGACATATACAAAACGCTCCACCACAAATCCACAGAATACACATTTTTCTCAGCACCACATCACACTTACTCTAAAATTGACCACATAATGGGATGCAAATCAATCCTCAGAAAATGAAAAAGAATGGAAATCATAACAGTCTATCAGACCACAGTGCAATCAGATTAGAACTCAGGATTAAGAAACACACTCATATCCGTACAACCACTTGGAAACCAAACAACTTGCTTCTGAGTGTAGACTGGATAAATAACAAAATGAAGGCAGAAATAAAGATGTTCTTCAAAATCAATCAGAATGAAGACACAACTTACCAGAATCTTGGGGACACCTGCTTAGCAGTGTTGAGAGGGAAATTTATAGCAATAAATGCCCACATGAAAAAAAAGGAAAGATCTAAAATCGACACCCTATCATCAAAATTGAAAGAGCTAGAGGAGGAAGGTCAAAAAAAATTCAAAAGCTAGCAGAAGACAAGAAATAACCAAGATCGGAGAAGAACTCAAGGAGATAGAGAAACAAAAACCCCTTCAAAAAAAATCAATAAATCCAGGAGCTGGTTTTTTTGAAAAGATCAACAAAACAGACCACTAGCCAGACTAATAAAAAAGAAAAGAGAGAAGAATCAAATAGATGCAATAAAAAAATATAAAGAGGATATCACCACCGATCCCACAGAAATACAAACTACCATCAGAGATTACTACAAACCAGTAAACCTGGAAGAAATGGATAAATTCCCAGACACTTGCACTCTCCCAAGACTAAATGAAGAAGTTGAATCCCTGAATAGACCAATAACAAGGGCTGAAGTTGAGGCAGCAATCAATAGCCTACCAACCAAAAAACGTCCAGGTCCAGATGGGTTCACAGCCAAATTCTACCAGACATACAAAGAGGAGCTGGTACAATTCCTTCTGAAATTATTCCAAGCAATACAAAAAGAGGGAATCCTCCCCAACTCATTTTATGAGACCAACATCCTAATACCAAAACCGGGCAGAGACGCAACTAAAAAAGAAAATTTCAGGCCAATATCCATGACGAACATCAACGCAAAAATCTTCAATAAAATACTGGCAAACAGAATACAACAGCAAATCAAAAAACTTATTCATCATGATCAAGTAGTCTTCATCCCGGGGTGCAAGGCTGGTTCAACATACACAAGTCTATAAATGTAATCAATCACATAAACAGAACCAAAGACAAAAACCGCAATTATCTCAATAAATGTAGAGAAGGCCTTTGACAAAATTCAACAGCTCTTTATGCTAAAAACCCTCAATAAACTAGGTATCGATGGTACATATCACAAAATAATAGAAGCTATTTACAACAAACCCATAGCCAGTATCATACTTAATGGGCAAAAACTGGAAGCATTCCCTTTGAAAACTGGTACTAGACAAGGATGCCCTCTCTCACCATTCCTATTCAATATAGTATTGGAAATTCTAGCCAGAACAATCAGGCAAGAAAAAGAAAAAAGGGTATTCAATTAGGAAGAGGAAGCCAAATTGTCTCTATTTGCTGATGACATAATTGTATATTTAGAGGACCCCATCATCTCAGCCCAAAATCTCCTTAAACTGATAAGCAACTTCAGCAAAGTCTCAGGATACAAAATCAATGTGCAGAAATCACAAGCATTTCTATACACTAGTAATACACAAACAGAGAGCCAAATCAAAAGTGAACTCCCATTCACAATTGCTACAAAGAAAATAAAATACCTTGGAATATAACTAACAAAGGATGTAAAGGACCTCTTCAAGGAGAACTACAAACCACTGCTCAATGAAATAAAAGAGGACACAAACAGATGAAAAAACATTCCATGCTCATGGTTGGGAAGAATCAACATCGTGAAAATGGCCACACTGCCCAAAGCAATTTAGATTCAACGCTATCCCCATCAAGCTACCAATGACCTTCTTCACAGAACTGGAAAAAACCACTTCAAACTTCATATGGAACCAAAAGAGAGCCCGCATAGACAAAACAATCCTAAGCAAAAAGAACAAAGCTGGAAGCATCATGCTGCCTGACTTCAAACAATACTACAAGGCCGCAGTAATCAAAACAGCAAGGTACTGGTACCAAAACAGAGACATAGACCAATGGAACAGAACAGAGGCCTCAGAAGCAACACTACACATCTACAATCATCTGTTCTTTGACAAACCTGACAAAAACAAGCAATGGGGAAAGGATTTCCTGTTTAATACATGGCGTTGGGAAAACTGGCTAGCAATGTGCAGAAAGCAGAAACTGGACCCCTTCCTGACACCTTACACTAAAATTAACTCCAGATGGATTACAGATCTAAACATAAGACCTAACACCATAAAAACCCTGGAAGAAAACCTAGGCAAAACCATTCAGGCCATAGGCATAGGCAAGGACTTCATGGCTAAAACACCAAAAGCAATGGCAACAAAAGCCAAAAGAGACAAATGGGGTCTGATTAAACTCCAGAGCTTCTGTATAGCAAAGGAAACAATCATTAGAGCAAACTGGTGGCCAAAAGAATGTGAAAAAATTTTGCAATCTACCCATCTGACAAAGGGCTAATATTGAGAATCTACAAAGAACTAAAACAGATTTACAGAAAAAAAACAAACAAGCCCATTCAAAAATGGGTGAAGGATATGAACAAACACTTTACAAAAGACAACATCTATGAGGCCAACAAACATATGAAAAAGGGCTCATCATCACCGGTCATTAGAGAAATGCAAATCAAAACTACACTGAGATACCATCTCATGCCAGTTAGAATGGTGATCATTAAAAAATTTGGAGACAACAGATGCTGGAAAGGATGTGGAGAAATAGGAACGCTTTACATTGTTGGTGGGAGTGCAAATTAGTGCAACCATTGTGGAAGACAGTGTGGTGATTCCTCAGGACCTAGAAACAGAAATACCATTTGACCTAGCAATCCCATTACTGGGTATATACCCAAAGAATTATAAGTTTTTCTATTATAAAGACACATGCACACGTATGTTCATTGCAGCACAGTTTACAATAGCAAAGACCTAGAACCAACCCAAATGTCCATCAACAATAGACTGGATAAAGAAAATGTGGCACATATACACCATGGAATACTACGCAGCCATAAAAAGTGATGAGTTCGTGTCCTTCATAGGGACATGGATGAATCTGGAAACCATCATTCTCAGCAAACTGACACAAGAACAGAAAACCAAACACCACATGTTATCACTTATAGGTGTGTGTCGAACAATTAGAACACGTGGACACAGGGAGGGGAGCATCACACACTGCGGTCAGTTGGGAGGGTTAGGGGAGGGATGGT